TGTGGCTCTGTTAATCTACAGCATAGCGTTCGTCATGGAAACCTTCAACTCAAGCATCAACATTTTTGTTTATTACAATATGAGCACGAAATACAAAAATACTTTCTTGGAAACGATAAAATCAATCAAGCCAAAATGACTTTGAACCTTTAAATTTTTATTTCTACTTTCTTGTGTAGGCCTACATAGGATAGAGAAAGTATTGTAATCGTGCCGAATAATTAACATTAAAAATTTTTTTTTCGCTGTTACACCTTTTTACTATAACGTATAAGAAATATTAAAGATGTTCTGTAATGGTACGAAAAAATCTACATGAAAATATATATCCTTCCGGAGCAGGAAAAAACTTAGTTTGCAACGCTGTCCATCTGTCTGTCTATCTGTCTGTCTGTCTGTGTGTATTTAAAATAGAGTTGCATGACTAAAAACCATTGCGCACCTAATGCATAAGATAACGCTCGTATAATAGTGCAGGATATTTGGATAAGACAGCTTGCTAATTAGGACACAATATTAATAATAAAATATTAATCATCTAAGTCGTCTAATTAAGTCAAATTTAATGTCAGATTGCATTGTTTTTATGTCTTGAACCACATGCAAACTTAGAAATGAATCTGTCAATTAGAAGTGCCCGACATTTTTCTCGAGCGTTTTATTCTACGACGACAGATAGACGGACTGTCGACAGAGAAAGCAAGTTAAATAAAAGCTTGAAAAAAAAGAACAGTTAGAATACGCTTTTTACCCGTTGAGACCATACATTATTAAGTTAGATAAGTGATTAAAAAAACCTAAATGGAAGAGAAATGCAAACTGCTTCGTCCACATGCAGGTCTACTTGTAAGTATAGTACTTTACTTAATTAAATAAGCGATGCATTCCTTATGCGTCGTAGAAAGAGTATCGAATTTTTAAACAAAGCAATTTGTCTATACTGTTCAATGACCGGAGCAGGGCTAGAGCTCAACACTTCACAGAGATGGTTTATGGGTTATACGAATGTATTGTTTAGTTTGCTTATGCATTGTTTTTCCTTAACATGCTAAGTTGGGTATGGATTTGTGTATGTTTAGTTCTCGCGTAGGCATATAAAGTGATACTTTTATTTTCTTTATTTTTGATTTACTTAGCAAATATATCACTACTAGTCGTCGGTACACATGAATTATATGCCTATATATTTTAATGATATAGATCTATTTGTTTGAGAAAAATAATTTATAAAATGGTTATTGGTCAAAACGCAGTGCGCTTTTCTACACGATGAACAATATTAGTTACGTTTAAATATATCATACATTAAAACAAAAATATTAATAGCTATATTAAGTTTATGAATATTGTTTTTTGAAAATGTAATGGTGCCGTTGACATGGAAACGAACGACACGACGATAACCCTCACAGACAATGGTCACGTGTTGGGTACTCTGCCACCTGGTGTGATCGACATTGTCTTGTGTTTGTACGCAGGGTTTAAAAGAGGCTCTTGGAATTCTGGGTATCGTGGCCAACATTGTTAACATTCTCGTGTTCTACAGACAAGGCTATGACGACAGTGTTAACATTACGTTAACAGCGCTGGCTGTCAGCAACATAGGGACTTTTGTGTCACTCAATATACAAAGCTGATGAAACCGTGGTTTCAAAAGCTACATTTGTCCCTGAAACAAATCGATCTCTGTGTCTTGGTCAGTTTCTACCCCCACATCTACTTCATCCGTGTGTGTGGGGGGGGGGGGTCCATCAAGGCATTCGTGTGGTTAGAGAGATGTCTGTGTGTGGTGTGCCACTCAAGGCCAAACCGACCATAACTAAACGCGTTACCGTAGCAACCACCGTCCTTATATTTTGTTTCTGAGTTTTGGTTTGTTTTTGTTACTTACCTAGATAGATTTTCATACCTGCCTTAAACAAAACTGATAATTATTAATGAGTAATATCCCTTTAAATAAAAAATAAATAAAATAAATTTCATTTAACTTAACAGTTGCTGAAATTCGTCCCGTATTTCACCTCCTTTGTGATCATAGTGTGTAATGTGATTGTCGCCATACAACTCAACAGAAGAGCCGCCTGGAAAAGATCTGTGACCGGCAACAAAGTCAAACCAGGAGAAGTTGTCTCCAACAAAGAGAAAAAAGTTGTCCTGATGTTGACTGTTGTTGCCACCATTTTCATCGTCTGTCTGATTCCCCAGTCAGCTGTACTGACCACGGTCAGTTTGGTGCCAGAGACCAGCATGTACGGCGAGTATTTCGACGTGGCACTCTTGTGCTACAACATCTCTGATTTCACGGAGACCGTGAGCTCCAGCGTCAACATGCTGGTGTACTACAAGATGAGCACCAGGTACAGGGACATGTGTAATAATATGTAATAAAATGTGTAATAAAACTAATTTACACAGCTATTTCTTTACGTTAATAAATAAAGAAAAGAGTCTCCTTAGGATAAGTTCCAACTGTATTTTTCTATCTCTGTGCATGAGCTAGGGATGTGGTCAGTTGTTGTATCAGCCGCTGTTAGATTCCATAGCTTGATCCAGGCACCATCGGATGTGACACATGGACAACTTACACACTACATCCTGAGAACTATACTCTGGATACTTCCGTATTAGAAGATGTCCCTATTTCCAGCCATCCACATCATCCCTATAGACTACTTCTTAAATGCGGTGACCGGAAAAATTCGCAACTGAAAACTGCGCAACGGAAAACTAAACTTCTCACAATAAGTGCGCAAAGGCTTTTTTTTTCGTCTTAAATCGATCATTTATAGATACTGGTTAAGAATAACAACATTGTAGAATAATAGAGCATTTTTTTCAACGAAATATCACAAAAAATAAAGTGTATTAGTATAATTAATTAATGTGTAGTTGCTAATTTTTGTGTGTTTTGTTTTGCACATTTTTCCGTTGAACAGTTTTCCGTGTGCGTATTCTCCTTCTTGACTGCTTAACTATATATGCATATGTAAAATATAATGTAGCCTATATTTGAAATTTGCAAAAAAAAAAAACAACAAAAAAAAAAACAACAACAAAAAAAACCCAAAAAACAAGGATAAACATATTTTTGAAGAGGTAGCAATGTATTGTTTATTTGGAAGATAACGAATACAATTAATTCTTAAGTTATCTTAGAAAAGCTTGTAGCCTCGGCCTCTGCATATAAAAAAATGTTATCAACAATGTGCACAGCCGCTTGCATTTTAGCTCAACTACAGCTGATTTTAACTACTCCTACTACTAAATAGCAAGCTGATCAAGAATCAAATTTACATTTGAATACAAATTTTAGGAAAACAACTACGTATTATGTGTTCATCGAACACAAGCAGGCCTATTAAACATTTCATTTTGGGAACATTTAAAACTAAATTACTTATGTGTTGCAACTAAAGACTCAAAATATTCCAGAAAACTTTTATATAAAAATTAAAATAAATTTTATATAGCATAGCTCTATATCTCAACAGCAACCTTTATATCATAATTTAATATAATTCTATAGATCACAACAATACCTACGTTGTGTTTCATTCTATTTGATTGTTCATTTTTATTTAACGCTTTAAAAAATCATTCTTTATTATGTGTTAAAATAATTAAACATTTCCTGATGACGTCACAACATGACGTCACAACATGAGACTACCAGTTATCTGTCTAGAGTTAGGTAAGTGGATATCTATATCCTGGCGACTGACAGCTCATAGTCAGGCCCACAAGTTAGGTTTATATAACGTCAAGCACACTATGTTATACAACGATAATCCGACCATAAAATAAGTAGATTCACACTTTTATATAAAACCCGAAGCACACTATGTTATAAAATAATAATCCGACTATAAGATAAAGAGATTCACACTTTGTTAACTATAGAACAAACAAAGCAGGTTGAAAGCGGCATACAATCAGTTCTTTTAGTGACCGATGTGTATTAATAAAATTCTTGATAAACCTTCAAGTTTTCAGCCCAGATCTAGGTAGTTTAACGTCTAATAAATAAATTTTGACAACATACAATATGTCATTACTATTGTCTAGCAAACCTAGTTGAAAGACATAACTGTTTACACTTAATTTTTACTACACCTGTTTAATTTAAAGTAATTAATTAAAATTGTTTTATAATATACTTCCCGATTTTAAGAAATGTAAATGTACATCATTTGATGCTAGATACTAAATAACATTTTGAAGTTTTAAACACTTAATTTAAAATAAACCATATTTTTATCGGACTCAAAATAACGGTAGTTAATCTAACAATTACTTATTATTTCTAGTGGTTAATTAAACATTTATGACGTCTGTCTAGGTACAATTATCGAAACAATTTCTATTTAGAAAGCTTATTAACGACCACAATTACTTTTGTAAATGTCATATTAATCAGACGTCGACTTGAACATCAGAACAGCAATCATCGTGGTTACCTTCCCTTGTATTTACTCTAGTTAACAATCACTGTACAATCCTTCCATTGTTACAGGATAAATACTACGGTGGTCCAGAATTAATTGAAATTCGTTTAGAAATAATTGCTGATATTAATTTTTTGACGTAAGATACTACCGTTTTAAGACAAAAAAGGTAATTATTAGATGTAATGATAAATATAATTTAAGTAAGTCAATGTCCTGATAATACTTGTATCAACAGCGCTACACTAAAAATGTGTGTTTGATAAGGCATTGTGGAATCTGATTTATAATTCATACTAGGATTAATAAAGTTTGCTTTTCATTGTATGTGTGAAATTGTAAAAGTATTTAGGTCTTCTCTGTGAATTTGGCGCAGAAATTATAACATAAAATTATAACTGCACTGGTATATTGCTTGGTCGTGTCAAGCGAGTTTCTGGTATATAAAAAGAAAGCAAAAATCATTACTTGAGTCAATGTTGTTGCACGTTTCAAATAAAGAACATCGTTGGTGTTTGTAGTCGGTGGAGGTGTGGAGGTTAAGGGTCAACCAAGATGTCCGCCAACAACGACATCCAGGCCATACAACTGACCAACGTCCAGCTGATTCAGTACGTGTCCTTCATGTTGTACTCCCTCAACACCATCATCGGTCCCGTCATCGGCGTGCTCGGCATCATCGGCAACATCATCAACATCATCATCTTCCACCGACACGGGTTCCAGCACGCCATGAACATCACGCTGACCGCCCTGTCCGTCAGCGACATTCTCGCCCTCCTCACCCTGCGGGTCTACAACATCCTCTGGAACCCCTGGACCGACTACTCCAACGTCGATTACGTCGCCGGTGACCTCATCACCATGTTGTCAACACACCCGCATAACTATTGCGTCAGAGTCTGCGGTTACGTCACAGCTTTCGCCTCTTTCGAGAAATGTCTTAGCGTCCTCGCGCCGCTAAAGGTCAAACAAATTATAACAAAAAAAGTCGCCATAGTAACGAACGTCGTTATTTTCGTTTCCATGTTAATGACGTTATTCCCAGCGTATTACGTCTACTACCTAGACAGGAAGTTCTCGCCTAAGCTGAATCGAACAATCCTCCAAATGAACTTCCGCGACTTCAGACAAGCGGTACTGAGCGTATCCTACTTCATCACAGACCTAGCCGTACCCTTCCTTTCATTCCTCTCCATTATAGCCTGCAACATAGCTCTAGCCATAGCCGTCAAACGCAACGTCTCATGGCGGAACTCTCTTTCTACTAAAGACATTTCAAAAACTAAAACCCTAAGTAAAAAAGAAACGAAACTTGTGTTGATGCTGTTGATAATGTCTGTTGTGTTCCTGGTCTGCTTGATACCAAAATCTGCTTTGTTGACTGCTTCCAGTATAGACCGGAGTCTGGGACTGGGTGGGTCACATTTCTACATAGGGGAGATGATCTTTGGCCTGACTTTGTACACAGAGAGCGTTAACTCTAGCGTCAACATCCTCATCTACTACAAGATGAGCAGCAGATACAGGACGTCACTTCACGAGATCTGGACACAGGCTACTGAACGTCTGCATTGTTTTAGGTCTAAGGATAATTTACATGATATATAACATATACCTTAATCATGCAACAGTATTTATTGATGTTGATTTTTGAATAGATGCGTGCGATATTGTTGGCACATGCTATTGAACGTCTACGTTGTTTTAGGTCTAAGAATAATTTGCATGATATATAACATATACCTTCATCATACACCTGTATTTATTGATGTTGATTTTGGAATAGATGCGTGCGATATTGTTGGCACATGCTATTGAACGTCTACGTTGTTTTAGGTCTAAGAATAATTTGCATGATATATAACATATACCTTCATCATACCTTAAACGGTATTTATTGATGTGTATTTAGAATATTGAACGAATACGTTGTTTTTGAATTGCTCACATGATAACTTACATGATATATAGCATAAGAATAACATACATGATATATAGCATAAGAATAACTTACATGATATATAGCATAAGAATAACTTACATGATATATAGCATAAGAATAACTTACATGATATATAGCATAAGAATAACTTACATGATATATAGCATAAGAATAACATACATGATATATAGCATACGAATAACTTACATGATATATAGCATAAGAATAACTTACATAAAATATAACACAATAATAACTTACATGATATATAGCATACGAATAACTTACATGAGATATAACATAAGAATAACTTACATGATATATAACATAGGAATAAATTACATGATATATAAAATATACCTTACTCTGTATTTATTGATGTGTATTTCAAATAAATACATGCAATATTATCTTTGTAAAGAAAACATCGACAGATGTAAACAGAAAATGTATTATTATATCTTTCCACTTTATATTTTTGTATGCGTTGGTGATTTTTGCACCTAATGTGTGTAACACCCTAGCCTATCTTACAGTAACATCTCATCGATCTAATAATATTGAGGTGGATTGTGTGCGATAGACTGTATAGGATAATATAGTCATTGTAATCCTATAGGTATCTATATATATATTCATGGTTATTTTATAAGCAATTTCGTTAAACAGAGGCGCCATAAAGGGTGTGTGAAGGGGGTCGATCACACCGCGCAACACCTTTTGGAGGGGTGGTAGGGTGACACCAAGACGAATATTTGCCAAAAGTATCTGTTAGGAAAATTATTTGACAGTGAAATTAATGATACAATAGAGTTAGTATTTTAATTACCCAACCCAATGCCATATTTCGACATTGGGGTGGGGGGGAGGGGGGTGGGTGGGGGACACACCATGAAATGCCGCACCAAGTAACACCCATCTAGTGACGCCACTAACAGGAAGTAATATACACATGGTAATACTTGAGGGAACTCTCACAGGTAATTTGCACCTGTGATAATTTGCACCTGTGATAATTTGCACCTGTGATAATTTGCACCTGTGATAATTTGCACCTGTGATAATTTGCACCTGTGATAATTTACACCTGTGATAATTTGCACCTGTGATAATTTGCGCCTGTGATAATTTGCATCTGTGATAATTTGCACCTGTGACTCGCATAGAAGTATTGTAGTTAATATGATATACTTATGGTAATCTAATCGAAATGTATCTTTGAACTGTAACTTACCGCATATAATATAACCTAGTCTTGTATAACTAATCAGCCAGTCATCATTACATTAAACAATAACAATAACTTACCATAGTTTCATCCAGGCATCTCTTCGAGGAAAGTCTAGCCCCCACCCCCTGAAAGAAATGGAATTTAAATAGAAACTCACACGTTTAACTCATTGACAGATAATAGAATAAATTAAAGGGAAGTAACAGTTAAAAATTCAATTTGTTTTCTATATGTTGTGTCCCCTAATCAATGTATGTAAACCAAATTAGCTGTGCTTTGTGTTGCTACTATGGGTTGATAATATTGCACAACACTGGCGTCTTGTATTAACTAAACCATTATTATGGTACACCGTTGGCGTCATAACTAAATTACTAAACCATTATTATGGCACACCACTGGCTGGCGTCTTTCATTAATTTTGTTTTTTATAATACAGAGTTTTCTGAACATTGTTAACAAGCTGTCTAACAATGTTATCTACGGCCGGAACTAAAAGCATAGCATTATGATAACATTTGAAAATTTTAGTTTTTTTTTACATCTGACCAGAGTAAGATAATACGCATTAAAATTGTAAAAATTCTACAAAATTCAAACTATGCTCGAACAGTATGGATTTAGTTCAAGCTATAGATAATACTATTAGAAAGCTATATACCAAAGTTCAAATACCTTGGTCAATTTGTTGATAACTTGTGAATAAATTTAAAAATTATTTTGTTTTAAAATTATGATACTTATTTTCGCTTTACGTACACTGTTTCCCAGATTTCAAACAGATTTTTCTGAAAATCGTCATAATTTTGACTGACAGTATTATCTATACCCTGAACATAGGTAGACGCATTTAGATTTAGATGGAAAAATAAAATTATGAAAGCATTGTTAAGCGCAAAATTAATAACTAACGTTACAGTTTTTTAAAAATAAGAATGGTTTTGTTTTAGTTCCAACTACTGGTGTTGTTGTTTTGAATGTTTACACCAAATTTAAAGTTAATTCACTAATGGTTAAAAAATTTGTTTACAAAAGAGTAACTAATATATACGGTTACAATGTTTTAGCAGAAATAACGCTGATGAATCATAATTACTACTGTAAAAGTTTGACAGCTGTATGACTAATAGTTTTTTAGGCGATTTTTTTTGTTACTCTCCCTTAGTCTGGGGTGATACTGTGCAGTTAAACCATTTTTATGGCACACCGCTAGTGTCTTTTATTAAACCATTATTATGGCACACCGCTGGAATCTGTTTTTAAACAATTATTATGATACACCGCTGGCGTCTTTCATTAAACCATTATTATGGCACATAGCTGGCGTCTTTCATTTTAACTAAACAATTATTATGGCACACCGCTAGTGTCTTTTATTAAACCATTATTATGGCACACCACTGGCGTCTTTTATAAAACAATTACAAGCCTCGCTTACGGTGCATAAGGTTCAGAAGCGTTAACAGCACGACAAAACGTTTTCTAATTGCCAACGTACATAGCCTATAGACGGAACAAAAATCAAGCTTTGACCTATAACCCCCTATTAATCTGTCTGAAATGTGCTACGTTGAGTGGTGGGGTGGGATCCATTCAGGCTAAAACCTACTGTCTTTACTAGGACTCTGTTCCAGTGTTTCTTCCAGACTTTTTTATCCGGGGGGGGGGGGGGGGGGGGCGGGGTGCACTCGATATTTTCGGGGAGGCGGTCAACATTTTTCGGGGGGCGGACACTAGTAAAAGTGTATGTTTACAATATAAATTCCATCTCGTTCGGGGGGCGGGGGGGGGGGGGGGGGCGAAGAGATGCCTGGAAGACACTCTGCTCTGTTCTGTACCCGAATTTACCTTTTGAATTGAAAATAGTTTATGTAAACAATGCTTTAACAGGAGACGTTTCTTACAGAAGAAACTGGATTGGAAACAACAACGTATTAAAGTAATGTAAACATTATTTAGATTTGCCTAAAATGCTCCATTTTTTGCTTAGTCTAAATAGAATAAACATCGACCTACCATGGTCAGATAAATCATTGTATGAACATCAATCCTATATAGAGAAATTATATATAGAAAAATATTTATACTTAACCAATGATGTGTGTGTTCGGTATCTAAACCCCAAATAAAATAAATTCAAATTAAAAATGCATATGTGGGTACACTATGGATTTTTTTTTTTCAAAACAGAAAAGATAATTAATAGATTGTCATTTTAGTTGACACGACAAGGCTAGATGATTTTACTTGAATAGGCAAAACAAAAGCTAAATAGTTGTTAGACTTAGTAGAAAATGAAATTAAATGTCGTTGGATACACTGGCGATGAAAAATCAACAAATCGTAATTAAACTACTATTCTAATTGGGTGTGTACTTATTAGCTTATTGAGATGTAATTTGATGATTAGAAAAATCAATTTTTAAACCAACGTAATGGTATGTATACTATTGACAGACTTAATATATCTACATTGAGGTAAATTGACGGCTATAGTTAGGTAAAACTAGCAACTGTCTACTACTCAAATTACCGCTGATTATTTACATTTTTAACAATCGGTTTTATAATTAGTTTTTTTAAAGAGGTGATAATTTAATTAGTGTAATTATTCTGCAATTTTAGGAAAATTTTAATAAGCTATTAATAAGTTTTAATTGCCCGTAATTTTAATTTTTTTTTTTAAATTGATGCGAAAACTGTACAGCTACACGTTGAGTAGAATATAATTCAAATTATACACGAGAAAATCATACATAAAATGTTCCAGGTAATGAACCTTAAATATGTAAAAATATAAACTTTTTTGGACATCTTCAGAAAAAAAAAATTCAAAGTAGTTAACGCAGTTATTTTAAAAAAAAATTGTTTGTCTTTAAAAAAATGTTAGTTTATCGATTGGACCATCGCACCTAAAAACACCAGACGCGTCTATCAGAGCAGTGTTTCTCCATCAACTTCCAGTTTTCCTGTACCTACACAGCTGGTAGATAAAAAGACGGAATAACATGACGTCAGCCACTGCCAACACCAGTTATGTCCAGGTCCCCACCCCCACAGGACTGCTACATCCGGTGCTGTTAGACTTCTTCCTGGCATTCAACCTCGCAATCTGTTCTGAGATTTTAGGAATATTCGGCATCATCTCCAACATCATCAACATCATCATCTTCACCAAACAAGGATTTGACGACACCGTTAACATCACTCTGGTTGCCATGGCGATCAGCAACATCGGGGCGTTGGTCACTCTACAGGTTTTTAACATTATGGTCAACCCGTGGTTTATGAAAGCTGATTTGTCTTTCATCGCTACAGACATAGCCTCATTCGTCTCCTTCTACCCCCACAACTACTTCATCCGTGTGTGTGGGTTCATCACGGCCTTCGCCAGTCTAGAAAGGTGTCTGTGTGTGGTGTTTCCCTTCACGTTTAAACGCTTCATCACCAAACACGTCGTCCTTGGCTTCAACATCTCCATATATTTTATTTCAATATTAAATGTTTTCCCTGTCTACTACATGGCTTACCTCGACTGGAGATTTGTAGTTACCTTAAATAAAACACTGTTAGGCGTCAACTTCAGGAGTAACCCTGACAGTGTGTTTGGAATTTCGTATTTTATCACCGACCTATTCGTGCCGTATTTTACTTTTTTCGTCATTATCACATGTACTTTGATAACTGGAATAAAACTAAAAGGAAGTGCCAAATGGAAAAAGTCGGCTACAAGGATAGCCAATATACATACAAGAGACGTTAGTAAAAAAGAAACAAAGATTGTCCGAATGCTTTCAACTGTCTCCGCTATATTTGTCGTTTGTTTAATCCCGCAGTCGGCCATCTTGACAGCCGTTGGGTTAGTCCGTGGCCTGAGTATCCGAGGCACGTATTTCGATGTGGCTCTGTTAATCTACAGCATAGCTTTCGTCATGGAGACCTTCAACTCAAGCATCAACATTTTTATCTATTACAACATGAGCACGAAATACAAAACAACGTTCTTGGAAACAATAAAAACAGTCAAGCTGAAATGGGCATACAGCGATCAGATTTAATTAATTTTTTTTATGTTGGCTACTAATTAACATAATATTTAACGTTACTAGATCGTTAAAGCTCAATAAAATAAAGCAATACACAATTTAATATCGATGTAGACTTGCATTATTTTTTTTTAGTTTACTTAACATGTACAATCTTAATCTTACATAAACTGCATACAATCCGAGATTAAGTAATCTTAAGGTGACATCAAAAGGCAAGTAGGCTATTGGTCAAATAACATGTATCGAAAGTAGTGCAAATCGTATTAGATTGTCGGCTGACAATCAGTAATTTACCGAATAAATTATTCTGATCAACCATTGTGGACTTAACAAAACAACACATTTCCTTTAACAATGAAGGTCATGGTGACACTACAATGACCTCTGCAGAGCCTCTCCATCCGGTTCTAAGCCCCCATTATTTTTGTTACTATTTTTAACGTATGCCTTCTCTACTACTATGTTGCCAAACCTAGGCTGGCGGTTTGTTGTGACTTAAATTAAACACTCATAGGCGTCAATTAAAATAAATAACACTGACAGCGTCTTCTATAGCAAACAATTATTGGCCGGCCATTTCACTTAGTCACTTTTTGCTACCAGAGGTTGTTTCAGACGACATCTATTCAGGTCAGCCGCACCAACCCCCCCCCCTTCACAATATTGGGGTGACGCAAAATCGAAATATCTTTCAATTTACTGTTTTAAAAAAGTTCTATACATTTAAAATAATTAAAACGTAAGGTTGGAAGGTGGTACCGTAATGGGATTGCAAGATAGTTGGAAGGGTTGAGGTACCCTGAACCCGTGACACCTTTTCTAGTGACGCCACTGAATATACATGGTTTTATATTACAGGCTCAAGCATGACTTTATATTACAACCACCAAACACAAAGAGCGATGTTTAAAGAAACACAAACCTGTTAGTCTCAGTTTTCAATAAAGCCAATATACCTAAAACCTGTCTCGTATTTGTGTGTGTAATTTAAAAAATAATTTGCTGTACAACAACTAGATACTTTTGACATGTAGGAGCTCGTAGTAGATGTAAATTATTTATTTAATACACCGCTGGGGTACTATTGTGTGATAACTAATATTGATCAACGTTTTTCTACACAGAGTAGTTCAATATAAAAAAAAAATCCCTACTGTACTATTACATAACAACTTATGGTGATCGTTTTGTATTAAAAAAAGAGTAGTTTGATATATTTTTTCGCGCCTGATGTAACTTTTTTTCTTATTTATCTTTAATCTATAATTAGTTTTTTTCGATACTTTAATGTTTTTATAGTGTACTAGCCGTACCGGCCAGTCCCTGCACTGGCATTTGAGGTAAAATTTATTTGTAAAGGGCGCGACGTATGTGCTAATTCAGCATCACATACCGTGCGCTGCCCGCTGTAAATATTATCCTTGCCCCGAACTCTTCCGCTAGTGCATGACTATGCTCATCATTCGACATAAAGGACTCTTGTAGATTTACATTAGTAACTATTTCTTTTCACTCTAAAGATGTGAACATATTATACAGGATTTTTACAAAGAATGAGCTCCATATCTGAAAAAAAAGAAAGATTATAAGTCGGGAATAGAGAGAGAGAGAGAGAGAGAGAGAGAGAGAGAGAGAGAGAGTTGGGTATGAGCACCAATAAGGGGAGGGGGGGGGACGGATAATTCAGTTGTCCGTCTTAGTGTACAAAAAATGTCAGTTTGATCATAGTGGTGGTGATACAATTTTACCTGATGTCGGAACATGTACATGATATGATAGGTGAATGCTTTTTATTGCATTTTTTTCTGGGTGGGTGTGGGTATGTGTGTGGGTATGTGTGTGTGTGTGTGTGTGTGCGTGCGTGTGTGTGTGTGTGTGCGTGCGTGTGTGTGTGTGTGCGTGCGTGTGTGTGTGTGTGTGAGGGAGAACAACATCGGAAACTACAGTAAGTCTTTACATGCAGTGTTGGGCCTAATCGATAAAGACCTCAGTCCCGTAGCCTTTCAGTAGAGCCACTTTACATTCTCACGTTTTGTTTTAGTTTTATTTTTAGATTTCTGGAAACGGCGCTGTTAAAAGAGTACACTAGAAGTCATTTTGGTAAGCAGGTAATAGCGCCACGTCGGTGTTTACCAGAGGTGCCACGTCACAACAAGAAAAACAATTAAGCCGTTCTGATTGGTCGAGCGATGATTTCCTAACGTGGTCAGATATATAAGTCGTGCTGTGTACCGTCGTTAGGGCACACAGCTAGCAAACGTTTGCTAGAAAGGAAATAGAGCTCATAACATCAGGCAACGAACTAAGACAGTGTTGAAAGAAAAGACCAAACATAACATGGTACTGACGGAAGCAGCAGCTGCTGCTGCGGCTATGGCTGCTGTTGGGTTTGGTGTGCCAGCTCTTTTACCTATTATTGGTTTCACAGCAGGTGAGTTTGTCGTAATCGGTGATTACATAGTTAGTGATGTTGTTAGTGCTAGTTGTTGATGCTGTTATTTTATATGTTTTTGCTGTTCTCAGTGCTGGTGTTTGCGTTCATTAGGTTTATGTTGTTTTTGGTATGGTGTTTGCGCCGTTCTTGTGTGATGTTAATGATGCTGTTGTTTGTGGATGTGTTGGTGAAGTCATTCTGCTGTTTTAAGCTTTTGTGGTTACTTTAGTCTCCGAGAGTCTTGCAGTTTCATATCTAAAGTAGTAACGTTTCCCTTCCAAACCTGACGGTCTATGGGGTAAATGAAGTAGAGTACACCTGTTTCTGTGACCTCGGCATTTGAAGGAATAGTGTGTTCGGCACAATGCCCAGCCGCCTTAACTTTCCCTATCGTGAGTTAGGTACCCATCAGAGCTGGGTGGACTCAGGGACATTCTATTGACTTGAACCCTGTTTCGAACTCCTACATATTCATATTTTCTTCGTTCTTAATTGTAAAGTTGGACGGGATTTCCCCCAACACAATTAAGTTAGATAGCCGTTGATTCCAATTTCATTCTGCTCTTCTTTCTGGATTTGCTTTCATAGCCTTTATCGACCAAAGAACATTTTCATTGAATTTTCAACAATTTATTTTTTAAATCCAACACAGACTGTATTGTCTTTACCAGCAGACAAACAGAGTATATTTTTTTATATTACAGCTGGAATTAAAGCAGGCTCTATCGCAGCTGGTGCTATGGCATTCGTGTACACTCACGGCTTTGTCGGACTAACGGCTTTAAGTGCTGCACAGTCTGCTGGAGCTGTAGGAGCCGTAGGAGCAGGAACACTGGCAGCTACAGGAGCTGCGACATTTGCAGCTATTGTTGCCCTGTTTTAACCAGCACATATTCCAGACATCAATATGAGCTGTTTGATAAAATAACACTTTTTTAAACAACTCTTTTTTACCTGTGATATTCAAATAATTTTAAATTGCATCAACATTTTTTTTTAAATTTTTGAATTATTCTTAGAGTTAAAGTGTAAAATTTTGTTTTTACTTTTCTTATCAGACAGTTAATGATAACTTTATGATTAATGATTAAACAAACAAATTTATGATTAATATTTTATTGTTGATCTTTTAATACATGTTTTGTTTTGTTGTTGGAATTATTTTATTTAAAACAAAAAAAATGGGTTAATCAGTGACCTCCCGTGAAAATAGTTGCATGATTTGTTTAATGTTTTTATCATCATCATCTCAATCTTCTCACTTGAACCTACAAGTCAAATTTTCAAGGAATCAAATAATACAATTCCTCTAGCAATAAAATATCACATTTCTTGTCACTTTTTTGGGGAAACACATCAAAATAAAGAATGTGACATTTATTAGACACTTTACTCTTAGGTGGTAACCAGTAGCAAAAGCCTGCTCCACGCCCTCCCCACCCCCAACACCAATACACCCTGTGAACCCTCCCCCCCCCGAAGTAAGTCTATCACCCACCCCGAACGAAATTGATTTTATAAAGAAAATATGTACTTCTACCAGTTCCACCATACCCACCTCCACCGAAAAAATGTTAGACCCCCGGAAATATAAAGTGCCCATCCCCCCCCCCCCTTAGAGTAAAAAAGTAAAAAGTTGAAAGAAACACTGCCAATGTGCTTGACCTCATTTGTTGAACAACCATTTTGTATTGCCGCTCAGTGCCATGAGTGTGTAACACAAAGCAAAATTGATTAAATAGTTACTTAAACACAAATTAAATAATCGATAAATACATTTTGACTGGCCTTATTTGAATATATATAGGCGGCCGTGAAAAATCTCGACATTGTGTATAAACATTTTTTTATCTGGTGCAAAATATGGTTAGAACAAACTATTTGATGTTTTAATAATTTCGGAAAATGAACACAATTAAAAATAAAATAAGCCAGTAACAAATATTTGTTTTTTTTAATATACGCTCAGAGATCCGACCAGAATTATTAAAAAAAAAATTATGTACTAAATCAGGGGTCTCCAAACTTTTCAGTCCGAGGGCCGCATTAACTATAAAATTTCAGTTCGAGGGCCAATGTCTTCCAGGCATGTCTTTGATTTTTGTGGGCAAAGTTCCTCAGCTATCTTCAACAAATGTTTTTTCCGTGGACAAAAAGATCTCCGCGGGCCGGATGAGAGGACCTCGCGGCCCGCGGGCCGTAGTTTGGAGACCCCTGTACTAAATCATTAAAAAAATAAGACTACATATTATATATAGTACAAATATTACAAATCTAAAACATTTTATAATTTATAATTTATTTTTTAAAATTTGGAAGGTGGAGGTGGGGGTGGGGGTGGGAATGCAAATTAGGCTGATTGAATCACAAACATTAATAAGTGCTAGGTCAAGGTAAGGTAAAATTAATCAACTTACAATTTACACAAGACTTTGTAAAAAATAAACCGGGAGTGATCTCCCCTAAACTTTCTCGAATATTCTTATACTAGCCATTGGTACCAGTTTCACGTAAATTATAGGCCTATATATTTAAAAATGTTGTAATTGTTTGATAAAAATAATTTATGAAATAGTTATTGGTCAAAATGCAATGTGCTTTACAACACGCTGAACGATATTAGTGACAAAGCAAAGAAAAACTAATTAGCTAAAAATCCTACACACTTAACATAACACAGCCACACACTGATTCAGTGTTTCTTCTAGACTTTTTTCTCCGGGGGGGGGGGGGGTGTAAACTTTCTTCGGGGGAAGGGGGGGGGGGGCGGACACTGTTAAAAGTATATATTTTCTATATAAATTTCATTTCGCTCCGAAGAGATGCCTGGAAGAAACTGCACTGATTAAGTGATTTAAATGATTCCGTTAAAAATCTGGCTATATGTTGTTTTTAAGTAGTTTGTATTAGTTTGACAGGTAAAATTGTATATATTTCATAGCGTACGTTTTGATGAGTAGATCTATAGATCTAGATCTAAATCACATTTCAATGAAGTTGTTTCTTTCTTTATAGTCTAAAATCGGAAGATTCACATTAAAAAAAAAAATAAAGTTTGACTTGGTGTGTCTCGTGCCCGCACAACCTGCGTGGTATTAAGTACACTATCATCTATAAGTTTCGGCCGGAAAAATCGAATTGTATACATTTCATAGCGTACGTAGATCTTAATCAAATTTGAATGAAATAGTTCATTTCTTTTTATTCTAAACACGGCAGATGACGTCATTAGTTAATGTATAAGCATTAGTGACGTCTCAGTTTTATGCGGTATTTTTCACAACTATAAACGCTTTTCTTGTAGCATAATTATAACTGTTTTTCTACATTCGAATACGCCTTTATTTTTTATTTTTCTTCTTTAAATAAAATGTTGGTTATACATTTAAAACATCTAACATATTATTTTCAACAAACGTCCGTATCAAGTTCTTCATATATCGCTGCATTCTGACGTGATATCCGGCGAAAATGTTTTGCGGACAGACAGAGAGAGAGAAGTGTGCACATGGGCTATTATATATTAGGATAAAACAACAGGGTATGGGAACTCGGGATATAGTTATGATTTTTAATCCATTTTAAATACTTAAACTTTTTAAAGTAGAATAGAATCGCATAGAAAAAGGAATTGCGCGCCATCGAACGCCAAAATAAAATGTGCATAATAGTCGAAATATTATTAGTACTTAATAAATTTATATGCGTTTTTTTTGAGAAATCGGAAATAGTGTAAATTACTACTTCGGGTCAACGGAAATAACTCAGAATTCGACAGAAGGTAGAGATTTAGATCTTTTACTTACGTGTGAAATTTCATTTATCTATCTGAAATAGTTCTCAAGTTATATGCTTTTGAAAAATTCAAAGTGAAAAAAGTACCAGTTGCGGTTATCGGAAAGCGCTCAAAAGTTGATACGGATCAACGATTTTAATAAAACACTTATATATGAAATGTCATTAACCTAGCTGTAACGGTACTCAAGTTATCGTGTTTCTACACACACACAAAGACACACAGACACACAGACAGACACACAGACATACGGACAAGATTGCAAAATTATGTTTTTCCGTATCAGTGAGGTGTAAAACGACGAGATTTGTAAAAATCTTAATTTTTTTTGCACGATTACAAGACTTTCTCTATACTTCGTATATACGATAAAGTAAAAATATGCAAATGTCTGACGACCACTTTTTAAAACATATCTCTTTTACCCTAAGCCACATACCAGCTGGTATTAGCACGGACTTGCCCCTTTAAAGTGTGACATTATTTATGGACGACACACACACACAACACGCACATACACACATACACACATACACACTCTAAACACACACATACACACATACATACTCGCGTGACGTACACTTATCTTCATCTCTCAAAATGAAATCCGTTCCTTTATCTCGAGTTTATCGCTCACCTAATTTCACCGACCTGATTTACTGCATTCCATGACGTCATCTTTCGGTTTCCGTGGAACCGTTGAAAACGAAACTACTTGACTAGTTTCCAGGTAGCGAGGGCACGTAGCAGCTGGATGCAGGGTATTTAAATGCGCGCTGGCTGTAAATTATCGACCCTGGCGTGTCTGGTGTGTTGCGTGAGGTAATAACACTGAATAACAGGTCAGCAGGTTTCAGTCTTTGGTAAGTAGAAGATCTGGTTTTACGTACATTGTAATTTGGTTATTATAAATGTGATTGTTATACTGTTGATTATTATACTAATACGTATATATATACATATAAATATAAATATAAATATATATATATATATATATATATATATATATATATAAATAAATAAATAAATAAATAAATAAATATACATATATATATATATATATATATATATATATATATATATATATATATATATATATATATATATATATATACTTTCATTTGTATTTACAGAAACGTGAACAATGGATTTGTTAAAGTTGGCGGTCCCAGCTGTCGCAGCTACAGCTGGTACTGTTTTAGCCGTTGGTGTAGGTGTGCCAACAGTGTTACCTGCTGTAGGATTTGCAGCCGGTAAGTGTTGCTAGCTGAATGTATCATGTAGTGTTAGGTTATATCTTCTTATTGCTTTAAAACTGTTCAATATATCCAACTTTTTACCCTGTAGGCCTACATTTGTATATCGAAGCTATAAAAATAGACTAAAGCTTGTAGCCATATAGTAAAGCCATAATATTCTATTTTGTATCCTGTAGCCATAGCACTCAGAGGCGTAGCGAGGGGGTGGGGCGGGGGTGCGGTCCGCACCGGGTGACACCATTTAGGGGGGTGACACCAAGTCAAAAATATAACAAAATATATAGAGAAAAAGGATAATTCCACTTAATTGATTAATTCGAGTGTTTAATAGTCTTTTAAGCGGAGCAAATCGAAAGTTTCAGGGGGGGGGGGGGGGAAATGAGGGGGTTTAAGGGGGGGGTGCAAATCGAAATGCTACGCCACTAATAGCTCTCATTATGTATACATTAGCCATGGCTCTCATTGTGTATACATCAGCCATAGCTTTAGGAAGTCATTTAAATATTAGCCTTTAGACAATGCAGCTAGTAGTCATAGAACCAATGACTAAGCTTTACGCTACTGCATATGTTGGGATAGTGTGGTCAGCACTACATCCAGCCGCCTTCACTTTCTCTAACGTCAGCTAGGTACCCATCACAGCTGGGTGGACTCAGGGACGTTCTACGTACTTGAACATGGATTCGAACTAGATACTTTCGGGTTAGCAATCGTAAGTTCTACCATTCGACTACTCCGCCTCATATAAAAATATATCGTAGAACAAAAAGTAAAATAAATAAGTAGTCTAATATTTTTTTTTACAGGTGGTATCAAAGCTGGTTCACTGGCAGCAAGCGCCATGTCTTTTGTCTACACACACGGTTTCTTCGGGTTGTCGGTCCTGAGTGCTGCTCAGTCAGTGGGAGCTGTGGGAGCCGTGGGAGCCGGAGCACTGGCCAAAACAGGAGCTGTTGTGTTTGCTTCTGTCAGTGTCCTGAGAACATTCTTCTAACGGTCGTTTGATCTTCATCGAGCATTTTGTTGATTGCTAGACATTTTTTCTTCTACTGTTAAAATAAAAAAAAAAGAACTTTTCAATGATATACACATCATATTTAAGAGAGTAAATTTTGAAAATTATAATAAGGTACATGTTTTTGTTAAAAGTTATAATCTACATTTAATGATGAAATTAAAAAGAAGATAACTCATATCTGTTTCTGTCGTCCATGTGTATTCAATATATATATATATATATATATATATATATATATATATATATATATATATATATATATATATATATCTATATCTATCTATATATATATATATATATATATATATAGAGAGAGAGAGAGAGAGAGAGAGAGATGTATAAAGAGATATATATAAAGAGATTGATAATTAAATCAGTTATCTGCAAATCTTTATCGATCCGCCTGCAACAAAAGCAATATTATCTTTCACAATCACTCTTTCCTTATCGATCCATTGTTAAAACACAGATATCGTCTGAACCGTTCACTTATCTGTGGATTGTTATCCTTGTTATCTGAATCCTAGTATTTATGGTAATGTGTTCATGTTCTAATCCCCACACTGTTGTTTATAGTATAGTAACGGGTAATACTACTAAATACATTGTATAAAGATTAGTAATTTAATATTAGCAGTTTAGTTGGGTGTATGACTTGATCTAAAAAAAATCAAGATGTGGTCTGGAAAGGTGTAGCAAAATAACGGATAAAACTGAATACAGTGTATAAACATTACCAGTGTAAAGGTTTTGTTGGGTGTATGACGCCATCTATAACAGTTTAAGATGCGGTCAAAGAAAGTAACACACTAGGGTTAATGAGGGAGGGGTTAGGACTTTTGAGGAGAGGATAGGGGGGAGGCGGATGTGTCAGCCATGCATTTCACAATTAGTATTAGTATACAATTAAAGTACTTTAAATACTTTATTTAAAGTTTTGGCTTATGGTTATTGCAAAGACCATTGTTCGATGAAGGTAAAATTAACGCGGACTTGTTAGAATTACCTGTACTAAATATAGTTGACAAATTTATCGGATGATCAGTATAAGCTCACGGAGAGCTGTAGCTAAATAACATTATGTAGCTCATATTATATTTTGTGATGAATAAACATTGGTTGTTTCCCATTAACCAAGGGAGGCCACTCACATAATAGTTATCCACAGAAATAATTTGTTGATAAGCATTAAAATATGCCTTCATTTTACGGCACGGGTTAAGATTACCTAGAGATATAATTAACAGTTATAGTAAACTAAAGTTCTTTTATGTATTTAGTTCATTAATGACATTTTTGTGCACATTGCGTTACTGCGACGACCAATAATTCATTTTTTAAAAAAAATATTTATATTTGTCATGCTACTTACTTTATCAATCACAAGAGACCAGGGGTCGGCAACCTTTTGAGACAAAAGAGCCAAAAGTTACAATTTACAACATTACCCGGTTTTTAAAGAGCCACTAACATTTTTATGTCAATAGTATATTTGTTTAGGATTTTATATATATATATATAAATATATATATATATATAAACCTAAACAAATATATTATATTTGTAATTTTAAATAAATAGCTATAAACAATGAAATAATCTCATTTGAATTTGTGTTGAGAGGATCTACTATGTAAGTCAGAGCAGTGGCGTAGCGAGGTCGGGTGTCACCCGGTGCGGCACTTAATGGTGTCACCCCCCACCCCCCACCCCCCAGAGGTATAGAGACCCTTCCCAGGGGCAAACTTTCAAATTTTCGATTTTGCACCCCCCCCTTCAAACTTTCGATTTGCACCCCCCCCCCTCAAGTTGTCGATTTGCATCCCCCCTCAAACTTTCGATTTGCACCCCCCCTTCGAGTTTTTCTCTCTATATTTTGCTATTTTTTGCCTTGGTGTCAACCCCCTAAATGGTGTCACCCGGTACGGTCCGCCCCCCCCCCCCCCCTCGCTACGCCCCTGAGTCAGAGTACTTGCATTTGTTTTGAATTTCTCAAATCTCTCAGTGAAAACATTCTTCATTTTGTTTATTTTAATGCTGAAGTGATTGAGTAGTAGCATTGGTTTCATAACGATATTTTTTCAGATTTTTCGTAATTTAGTAATTTATCGCTCACCATGTATTCAACAAAAAAGTATTTTTTTTCGAAACAAATCACTTCTTCAAGCAAGACATAGTCCGGGTTTTCCTTTCAGTTTTACACTAATTATTAGCTGGTTTAGTTTCTTTGTGATATCCACTATGAAGATACATGTTTCAATTCGGAATGGACAATGTAATAGGAAGTACATTGAGATTGGGAGTAACTAAATATTATAATACAATAGTGAATGTTTATTGTTTATATCTATTGTTATATCGTTTATTACCGAGTTTTGCTGACCAATATTTTTTATGAGTTTTGAAAATAAAATAAAATAATTATTAATATTTGTGCATGGAGTTGAAGAGCCGCAACTGGACACCAAAAGAGCCGCATGCGGCTCGCGAGCCGCAGGTTGCCGACCCCTGCAAGAGACGGTTAACAGTGTTAAATCCGATCCTTCGGTCAATCATTACAGACAAAAAGAGCCAAAAGATACTGTTTTCTAAATTTCCCAGGTGGAAAGCATGGAATTGTTTGCTACGTGTCTGTCCCAATCACGGATGTCGCGTATTATCAAAGTTCACTGATGAGTTTTTATATTGTTTAAACTTTTTTTGCGTTTCCTTACAGTATAATATTTGTGATGAGTTAATGAAATAATAATATAATTATTAATAATTGTACGTGGATCGCGAGTCGCAGGTTGCCGACCCTCGTCCCGGGTACATTGACCCCTTTTTTTACCTGCGACCAAAATGTTTTTAGCGTAATATACAAACACGTGACGGTGTGGTGGAATGGTAGAGCGTTCTCTGCTAGTCCGAAAGTCTTAAGGTTCAGATCTGTGTTTGGAATCTGAATAGCCTCTGTCTCTGTGTATACTCAGTTCAGATAAGAACCTCAATCAAATTTTAAGGAAACCAATGGGTCTGGTCATAGTGTTGACCACCATATTCCGTCATACGCCGAAGACATTGAAACAGATTAACTCTACTTCATCTGCACATTGTGTCTTGGGCACGAACTGGCAAAGATGTAGTTGAGGATGATGATGATGATGATGATGATGATGACGATGACGATGACGATGATGATGATGATGGTGATGATGATGATGGTGATGATGATGATGGTGATGATGATGATGATGGTGATGATGATGATGGTGATGATGAGGATGTTGATGATGGTGATGATGATGATGTTGATGATGGTGAGGATGATGATGATGGTGATGATGATGATGGTAATGATGATGATGGTAATGATGATGGTGATGATGATGATGGTGATGATGATGATAGTGATGATGATGACGATGATGATGATGATGATGATGATGATGATGATGATCTTGCTTAAGTGATCAAAAGCTAGAAGTGAAGGGTTGGCTGACGAACCGAGGATTTTCTATTTTATATGTCGGGTATGAAATGATTTTATTTCGCATTTAGGCATTGACATTAAGAGAATGCTAAAAGTTGTGTATTTCTACATTAGACATCTAGAATAAAAAAAATTATTGAGCACATCTTATTGTAAAAAAATTATATTTCGCAATTCATAACACACCATCCTACTGAATATAATTATTTAAACATATACAAATTCAAAAAGACATTACTTGAAATTCCCGTAACAGTTGTGTTAGCGATGCCAAGATATCATAATTACAAAATAAATGAGTAATTAAATTTTTATTTAATGAATTGTTTAGGCAGAACATGAATAATGATGATTAGAAAACACTGACGACATCAAGCATGCATAGGCGTGACCTGTAATCAGGGTTCTTGGTTAATGTGGGTGGTTAATTGGTTTATTGGGTAGTTAAATTAACCTATTTCACTTGGTAAGACGCTGAATAGAGAGCGCATATACTAATTCTACCGTCAATATTACAATGTAAAATTATAAGCGTATATTTTTTGATGTCTCTTTTTAAAATTTTGGAATATTTTGTAAAAAAAATGATCTGAATACATGTCATATGAAAAGTTGACATTTAGACATGACTATTTAAATTATGCTATATATGTTATACATATGTACTCTGATGGGTACCTAGCTCACGTTAGGGAAAGTAGTGCTGACCACACTATCTCTTCATATGCTGAGGTCACAGAAACAAGTGAACTCTACTTCACTTGCCCCATAGACCGTCAGGTTTGAAAGGGAATCTTTACTTTTTACTTTATGTTATATATATATATATATATATATATATATATATATATATATATATATATATATATATATATATATATATATATATATATATATATATATCCTTCTGTTTATTTTATATATATGAACTGTGTAACTAAAGTTTATCCTGTGAAGCCCGCTGAGTAACAAAGTTCTGTAGCTAAACATCTCCACCCACCCAACTTACTTTTGATGAGCTCTCATTAGATTAGCCCATACAAGCACCGCTGCCCATGAGCTTGCTCCCACAGATCTTCGCGTGGGCTTCCATTGTCTACACACTTTTCTTTATATTTAGATTCTGTAATATTTGCAGACGCACGTCGCTAAATTTGAGAGACGCCACGGCAGTATATTATCTTCAATGCATCGCATTTACATATATTAAGCGTAAGAAGTTCTAAATAAGGAACAGTTTCGCTATCCGGCTTGGTGTTACCTGTTGTTGTCCCTAAACAAAATATTGTTTAAAGAGCGTCTTATGAGGAAAAATATTTTTTGGGTAGGTTTATTTCGCTTACATTTTCAAAAGCTGATTGTCAAATGTTTTAAGCGTAACATTTAGCATATGATATATTATCTAAAGTCACTGATATCTTTATTTTCTTAGGTAAAAGATTTTGATCAACGACCAACCATGTACAAGCTGTTGGTGATGTTTCTTCTATCGGCCTTGACCTACGCTGACCTCTTCTCCGACCTGGATCAAGACGAAGATGGCGGCATAACCTACTACGAATTCAGGGACTTTTCAAAGGTGTTAAGTTAACTGCGTGTAGACTTTCATTTTGGTTAAACCTGGACAATATATATATATATATATATATATATATATATATATATATATATATATATATATATATATATATATATTGGGAAAAGTTAACTTAAAATACATTAACCTTTCTATAAAGTTTTGTTCCTCCGAAGCTTCAAAATATTAGTCTAGTAAGTCAAATAAAGAAAAAAAATAAGCTCCATCATATTTCGTAAGAGAATTTTATTTATTCCACGTATCCCAGCCGTACGCCAAGGTTATATCCTACTCCCTGGGACTGGAAGAATTCAAGACAATGTTCAATGAGAAGAAAGATCCCAAGTCCTCATTCCCAGCCGAGTCAACCTTTGAGAAACTGGACACCAATATGGACCTGGTTCTAGACTTGAAGGACCTCGATGCGATTTTTTATGTCGTAGACAGAGACCACAACAGTAAAGTGGACGTACAGGAATTCAATGCGTGAGCGGTTTTGTATGTCTGTCTTGCTAACAACTTGGATATTATCATAGATGTAATTGTATGTTATATGAATCGTATTTATAAAACTAAATGCTTGCTGTTATGTCTTTGACGGTGTAAGGTTTATTTCTTTTAGATTTACCTCATACTTTATTACGAAGGAAGAAACACCAAGTGAAGGCGGGAAAAAAGAGTCCATAAGGTGAGTTGTTTTATTTACCTTTCTTTCTATTCACTTGTATATCATCTTAAGGGTAAAACTATTTGCACACGAAGACGTCTTTTACGCTTTTAGCCAACTATTTGTCGGTATGACTCAGTTGGTAAATATTCCAGCTTACCATTTAAAGCAGCTTTATATATATATATATATATATATATATATATATATATATATATATATATATATATATATATATATATATATATATATATATATATATATATATATATATACATAAATATATATACTGTGTGTGCATGTAGGCCAACATTATTACATATATATAATTAAATAAATAAATAAATACACACACACATATACATACATACATACATATATATATACATATATATATATATATATATATATATATATATATATATATATATATATGTATATATATATATATATATATATATATATATATATATATATATATATAAAAGAAATATATATATATAAGAAATATATATATATATATATATATATATATATATATATATAAGAAATATATATAAGAAATATATACAAGAAATTGTTTCTTATTTTAGCATTTTTGGAAGCTTGAAAACAAAATATCTGCCAAAGACTCAAGCATACGGTTCCAACCCCCTGCAAACACTGGTTGATGCCCTGCAGTTTCCAGTAAAAAGTTAAACACATCCTAACAACGTTCAAGAATAAAAATTATATAAAAGGTTCTGAGTTATTAAATATATTTGCAAATGTTGAGCTGCTAAAAAAATTATATCCACCATATGCGTGTTGCGATGCGACAAGCGTGCTCCAGCAATGTGGGCTAGATTATATTGTATATGAGCGTCTGTTGTTTCTATTCACACATACGACTGTCGTAGTTAGATGACAATGTGAATTAAATACTTTAAAAATAGAATAGAATAATAATAAAACAAAAGTGAAAGAATAGTGAAACAGAATAGATACACAGACCTTTTTGTTTATCTCGTACCGAAATTTAAAAAAAAAAGGAAAAGAAACAACACATTTATAATGCTATAAGAACTATTCATCTTACAGAATCTGATCACAACATAGTTTTTGATCTGACTTATTGTAAATTGTAACTATAACATTTTTAATTTACATATTAAAAAAACGTGATATAATAGGATATAATTGCATGTATGTGACAATTATATGATCTTTCTTATAAAAAAGAAAATACAATGTGTTATTCTATTGAGGAAATTTGATTCCTAACAAAATATAATTAAGTTTTATATGCATGAAAGTAAGGATGTAGAAGAACATAGATACGATTAACTTCATATAATATAGTCAATCAACGACAATAAAATACAACACTAATTCAATCAAAAATAACTATTATATCAACAAATAGACCAAATGTACTGACTATCAGGACTAAACTTATACAAAATAGTTTGTATTACTGTTAACGATGATGATATAACACATTATAAAGTGTCATTGTTTTATGGCACGGCGGTAGAGTGCTAGACTTCTTACCCGAAAATCTCAAGTTCAAATCCGGGTACAAGTCAGTAAAACGTCCCAGAGTCCTCCAGCTCTGATGGGTACCTAAATTCCAGCTAGGGAAATTAAAAGCGGCTACAAATAGTGCTTACTACACCATCATTTCATATGTCAAAGTATCTGAGACAGATGAATTATACTTTATTAGCCCCATGCGTCTTGGACATGAACATGAAAAGAAGATGATCATGAATTTTTGTTTACGATCTAAAGAAAATTCAGGTAAACTGGTCTAGTCTACCTCTAGACCACTGTAGTTCAATGCTATTTAGTTAGCTTCATATATCAATCTTATTCTACCTCTCGACCAGTCCATATTTAGTTAGCTCTATACATCGCCCTAGTCTACCTCTAGACCAGTCCATATTTAGTTAGCTCCATACATCGCCCTAGTCTACCTCTAGACCAGTCCATATTTAGTTAGCTCCATACATCGCCCTAGTCTACCTCTAGACCACTGTAGTCCATATTTAGTTAGCTCCATACATCGCCCTAGTCTACCTCTAGACCAGTCCATATTTAGTTAGCTCCATACATCGCCCTAGTCTACCTCTAGACCAGTCCATATTTAGTTAGCTCCATACATCGCCCTAGTCTACCTCTAGACCAGTCCATATTTAGTTAGCTCCATACATCGCCCTAGTCTACCTCTAGACCAGTCCATATTTAGTTAGCTCCATACATCGCCCTAGTCTACCTCTAGACCAGTCCATATTTAGTTAGCTCCATACATCGCCCTAGTCTACCTCTAGACCAGTCCATATTTAGTTAGCTCCATACATCGCCCTAGTCTACCTCTAGACCAGTCCATATTTAGTTAGCTCCATACATCGCCCTAGTCTACCTCTAGACCAGTCCATATTTAGTTAGCTCCATACATCCGCCCTAGTCTACCTCTAGACCAGTCCATATTTAGTTAGCCCCATACATCGCACTAGTCTACCTCTAGACCAGTCCATATTTAGTTAGCTCAGTACATCGCCCTAGTCTACCTCTAGACCAGTCCATATTTAGTTAGCTCCATACATCGCACTAGTCTACCTCTAGACCAGTTCATATTTAGTTAGCTCAGTACATCGCCCTAGTCTACCTCTAGACCAGTCCATATTTAGTTAGCTCCATACATCGCCCTAGTCTACCTCTAGACCAGTCCATATTTAGTTAGCTCCATACATCGCCCTAGTCTACCTCTAGACCAGTCCATATTTAGTTAGCTCCATACATCGCCCTAGTCTACCTCTAGACCAGTCCATATTTAGTTAGCTCCATACATCGCCCTAGTCTACCTCTAGACCAGTCCATATTTAGTTAGCTCCATACATCGCCCTAGTCTACCTCTAGACCACTGTAGTTTAATCCCGTGGGATTGGTGCCACTGTGTGGATGATCCGCTACCTTATACCCCAGTCTGTAGACCAACGCCCCACTACTACCTGCGCATGTGCTGTTGGTATACGTATACCTGGTGATGTTTTTAGACACCTCTTGCCTGTCTACCCAGTGACCAACCGACACCTTTTTAACATTACCGTGAGGATGCGACACTATGATGACTATATTCGCTTCATCATTGCGGTCTTTGTATTTTTTCCAGACACTAGACCAAAGATCTTCAAAACGGTCCAACATAATTTGTAACTTTTCACCGACTTCTAGGTCGTGGGTTGCACAAAAAAACATGCAGTTGTCCCTGTTAGAATACGACCCGGCCAACTCGAACCCGTAGATGTTAACCACGGGGGTTTGAACACTATCATACCATAATCGACACTTTGACCTGCTCGCCTCCTCACCATCATACACAACGTGCCTGGCTGTGAGTACCACCGCCTCCCACCACACTTTCTCGGGCGTATCAGACTTGAGACATTTAGGACAAGGACACGTCCTGTAGGTCCTCTCCGGTACATCCATGTCCTCTGCGTACTTGACCACATCCCACACCTTCCCCGTCCCCACTAGCAAGGCCTTCTTTCCCCTGTTCTTGTACCCCGGGTATTCAGCACTAGTACCACTGATGAATTGTGGTCTATCTGGACTGACGTATGATATCGATATCCTCACGGTTAAATCAGACAGAAGTTTGGTGAAATTGACAAGGTCGTTGTCTTGGTAACCATAAGGGAAGTGGCGAGGGCTTAAATCCTTGACTAAAATATACTTGTCGTGTGGTTTGTTACATTTTGACGTCGGGTCGTGTTTTTCCGTTTCATCTAGATCTTCAGGACATTCTAGAACTTCGTGAGTTCCTGTAGAACGAGGTTTAAACAGTAGTTTAACTTATATACAAACAACATTACTAGAAGATACTAGCTTAAACCTGGTTATATTTACTATTGCTAGAGGATACTAGCTTAAACCTAGTTATATTTACTATTGCTAGAGGATACTAGCTTAAACCTAGTTATATCATTTGCTAGATAATACTAGCTTAAACCTAGTTATATTTACTATTGCTAGATGATACTAGCTTAATAAAAACCTAGTTATATCACTTGCTTGATAATACTAGCTTAAACCTAGTTATATTTACTATTGCGAGATGATACTACTTTAACACAGATACCAAATTCATTACCAGATAACACACACGCACTTCAAGCTTCAGATAACACCACGTCCATTAGATAATAACGATGATAATACTGCCATCGTATAATACAGGGGTCTCCAAACTTTTCAGACCGAGGGCCACATTAACTATCAAATTTCAGTTTGGGGGCCAGTTTCTTCCAGGCATGTCTTTGATTTCTTTGGGCAAAGTTCCTCAACCATCACCAGCAAACTATTTTTCCTTAGACAAAAAGATCTCCGCGGGCCGGATGAGAGGACTTCGCGGGCCGCATTCGGCCCGCGGGCCGTAGTTTGGAGACCCCTGGTATAATAATACCTCCAGCAAAGAGTACAATATTAAGTTCATATATCACATTATGTGATACGTAGAGATTCTTCCAAGAGGCGGAGCCCCAGAAGAAAATCTGCCATCCCCCGAACTAGATGGAATTTATATAGTAAACATATACTTTTACTAGTATCCGCCACCCCCCCCCCCCCCCGGATTATGTAGACCCCCCTCCCCCCGAAAAAATCAACTGCGCCCGCGGAAAAAAATAGTCTGGAAGAAGCACTGGTGATACTATCACCATCATATAATACCTTTATAGTGCCCACTTCCGTAGAAACCATTCGAGACTATTTTCTTTAACCGATAAAAGTACCCGATCAAAACATACTGGAATCTAAACAAAGTGTAAATCGTAATGCTGAATATGTCTTTGTTGGTTTCCATAGTTACCGTTAAAATGGTGCGACAGATCATCATTGTGAACTTCATAACTCTTGTCATCTACAGTCGCCATTTTGAATTATTTAATCTATGGGATAATATTAACTAATTAATTATAAAATGTCAATATAAGCAGCTACACAATTGGTACCTAGAATACACGTTTTTATCACAGCCATGATGGATTTTAAAAAATTAAGACGTAATTTCATAAGGTGTATAACAAGACATATAAAACAGACACGTGAGTATAACAAGACATATAAGTGACACATGTGTATAACAAGACATATTACAAACATTATAACAACACATATGAGAGACACATGTGTATAATAAGACATGTTAGAAACAATATAACGAGACATATGAGAGACATATGTGTATAACAAAACTTGCGATAGGCATTATGTATAACAAAATTTGAGATAAGCATTATGTATAACAAAACTTGCGATAGGCATTATGTATAACAAAATTTGAGATAAGCATTATGTATAACAAAACTTGCGATAGGCATTGTGTATAACAAAACTTGCGATAGGCATTGTGTATAACAAAACTTTTGATAGGCATTGTGTATAACAAAACTTATGAAAGGTTTATATGACAAACATATGAATAACGCGTGGTGTGACATACGCAAGCTTATAACGATACATGACAGACCTATGCCTACAATAAGACTTAAGACACCATTACGTGTCTGTAACAAGACGTAAACTAATGCATATAATTTAAAACACCTACCCAGTCAATACCCTTTTAAACTATCTTGAACTAAAGAAAAGCAAATTGTTGGTGCTAAGAACAACGAATCACGCACACACAAACAATGTACAGCTAGATTAAAAAGAACCAACACACCATTCCTTGTTTGGGTATCAGAGAATAACGTCCACGGTTTGAACCCTAACGTATGATAGCAGCTTGATGACACTAGTGTGTTGACCATAGCCTAACATATTATAGCAGGTTCATTACTTTAGTGGCAGACCATAGCCTTATCACGACCTAAACATTTTATCTTTTGAAGTGTACCAGATATTATTTATCTGAATACTGATATAGCTTCGACTAAAGATTTTGTAGTGGTGTGTTTGATAAACGGCTCTAGGTGTTGTGTTTGATATTGACATTTTTATGGTGTATTTAATACATAAACTTGTAGTAATATGTTTGATACATCACATTGTTGTTATATAGATATGATAAATGACATTTTAGTTGCATGTTTGATACTTGACTTTGCAGTTGTATGATACACAACCTTGTTATTGTATGTTTTATGTTTGACTGTGTGGATCTATGTTACATGACCTAATACGTGTGTGTCAGACACACGACCCAATAGTTTTGTTGATGACAACCAACTTGTTAACAAATCAGCCAAAACTTGACTCAACTATTCTTTTGTCTAACAAATGACGTACATTTTGTCTTAATACAAATATCATTCAACACTATCGTATTAATTATACAGTTTTGAAATGTTCAAGGGGGACTGCAGTTCATTTGTCAGTTTCAGTATACACAGCATTGCTTTGATACCAATTACGATCTTAAGCTTGTTTAAACGTGTTAAACGTGACCGAGTAGTAGAGCTTATGATTTCTAACCCGAAATCCTCGAGTTCAATTCACGTGTCTGAATGTGTAGGACTACTTTAAGTTCACCATACTCTGATAGGTACCTGACTCAAGTCAGTGACACAAAGACGGCTGTGCTTAGTGCTGACCACATTATCTCTCTATTTGATGAGGTTATTTAAATCTCCTTCATTTTCCCTAAGTGTCTTGGGAAAAGTTAATGTTGATTATAAAACTCTTAACGACGTATTTGCAGGTAAACAATGTACGAATGTTTTTCTAGACGTTCTAATCGAGTTAAAGTAGACGATGATTTTGATAGTGGTGTTGATAGTTTCTGTTACAAAAAAACACTAGTAACATACGTGGGTTATGAGTAAACTAACATATTGGGGTAACACTCCATTTTAGCGTAGTTTGTTGCCCGTTTGATATTCCTTTCCAGTTGACTGACAAATTTTAAAACTAATTTTATTTGCAATTTACTAAGTTTTACTACCTTTTGTTTTAATTTTACTAACTTTTACTATCTTTTTTTTACATTCTACTAACTTTTAATATCTTTTATTTTTAAATCCACTAGCTTTTAGTATTTTTTATTTTTACATTCTACTAACTTTTACTATCGTTTATTTAAATTTTACTAAATTTACTATCTTTTATTTAAATTTTACTAATTCTACTAAATTTTGCCATTATTTCTTCAATCCAAACAACTCCAGGAAAGTATTTCTGAACCTGCTGCTCATCTTAAAATAGACGATGATGTTGACGCTAGAGTTAATGGTTTCCGCCACAAAAGACACACAGTAACAGATGAAAGCAACGTCAAAATATTGTCCCGACACACTTAGCTCCTGGACCAGACCAACGGCTGTCAAGATGGCCGACTGTGGGATCAAGCAGACGACAAATATAACGGACACCGTAATTAACATGACAACGACTTTCCTCTCTTTGTTTGAGATTTCAGCCTTTGGCTTTCCCGAGGCGCCGGTTGCTGTTTTTCTCCAAGCGGCTTTCGTTTTTAGTTTTATCCCTGTGATTGTCGTACAGGTGATGATGATGAAAAATGTAAAATACGGAACGAATAAATCTGTGATGAAATAAGATACGGAAAAAACACGCTGTGCGTTTTTCGAGAATGCAACGCCGAGGTAAGTTTTGTTGAGTTTGGATGGAAATTTCCATTGGAAATAGCCCGTGTACATGATAGGAAAAATGTTGAAAATCGTCACAAAAAAGACAAGTACGTTGAATGTAAAAGAAACATTTCTGGTGATGATTTGTTTAACGTGTAAGGGTTTGACCACACAAAGACATCGCTCGAACGCCGCGAAAGCTGTGATGAACCCGGTGACCCGGATGAAGTAGTTGTGGGGGTAGAAGGAAATGACCCGGTTGACCTCTATGACCAGGAAGTTGACGTCAAGAGACAGGAAGAACGGGTTGACCATGACGTTAAACAGCTGTAGAGTGACCAGCGCACCGATGTCACTGACAGCTAGGGCTGTCAGCGTGATGTTGACGGTGTCGTCGAATCCTTGTTTGATGAAGATGATGATGGTGATGATGTTGCCTATGATTCCTAGAGTCCCTACGATCTCACCAAAGACTAAGGAGCACGCTATCATGACAGCACCCACTACACTGGGGTCAACCACTGGCACCGTGGAGGCAGGTCTTTCAGTAGAGCTGGCTGGGACTTCCATCCTGGTTTAAATGTAACAACAAATTCAAGAAACTAAAAAGACATTGTAGTCTAAAACTCAAAACACTACAACTGTTAACCTGAAGGTCTTAAGTTCGGATCCCAGGTCGAGTATGTAGGACGTCCCTGAATCCAGCCAGCTAGTAAGGACACCTGGCTAGCTTTAGGTTAACTAAGACGGATGGCAATCGTGCTGGCCACATTATTTCCCAGTGTGCTGATGTAACTGAATCAGATGAACTCTACTTCACCTACACCAAGTGCATTTTGCATGGACGGGAAAAAAATTGGTACGATCTCAAAACGCGCCCTATTTCAACATTTTAGAAAATCCAAAACGGTTTTTATACCCGACACTCTGACACAAAGACATAGACACGTTGTCAAAAATTGTAAAACAGACTATTACTGAATGGTGATTTTACGAACTGAAATAACGATAACCACTGAAAAGATTTCGTATTTAGTTAACTACATCAGTTAATCCTAGTCTGTAATTATAAGTTTAAATTCCATTAGTCTCTAAAATATGTAACAAAGCCAACAGACGTAAAGATTACTATGCTTTTAACATCTAATCTCCTAAATTCTATTTGCTCAAGATTATTCAACCTGATATAATTATTTACTTTCATCCATTTATTCTTCTCCATTTTCGTTATTAACAATGCAGTTAGTCAACCTTACACCACCTTGTCCGGGTTTAACACAATTAGTAACTCCATTAGGAACTTAACGTTTCTCAGTTTCAGTACATGGAAACCTATCAATCTAAATCTGTATGAACTAGATACATTAAGTCGTTTCATAATTTTCGATCTATATTTGCTTTAGAGTGCTCTTGAGAACCTTAACTGAACCAATCTCTGTTATTGATTTTCATATTAAAATCTGTGAATACGCTAATGATATAACCTACATCAAGAATGTAGGCCTACTTTAATAAGCAGAAAAACTAATGGTTTAAAGATTTTGTCGATACAAGAAACGCTTCGATTTTTAGCAATGTTAACAGCTTTCCATTACAATTTAATAAGATTATGCTAAGTGGATTGTTAATCTTTTCACAGATAAAGTAGACTCCATAATTATGACATATATATTTCTGGTCCCCATCATATGAAGTGATAGTGTGGTAGGTAATATGCCTAACTTCACCGACGTATGTTAGGTACCCATTAGAGCTGGGTGAACTCTGGGACGTGTTAAAGTCACATGATCTATCTGTGATCCGAACTCGAGACTTTGGGGCTGTTATAATTTTTATAGAAGACACGGGCTGACAACCAACGCTCTACCACTCTACCTAGCCTTCATGTGTCTTCTTTATATTGATCAAATCTTTAAATCTTTACTAGTAATTGTATCCGATTAAATCACTAAAGGATTGAAGCTTAAAAATGTATTCGGCTTTTGTGCAGACTGTACACTTTTAAGCATATTAAATGTGTTTATATATATATATATATATATATATATATATATATATATATATATATATATATATATATATATATATATATATATATATATATATATATATATATACATTTATTTTATATATAGACTGTGTAAACCAATATTAACTATAAAAACTTAGTTAAAAGCAATATATATATATATATATATATATATATATATATATATATATATATATATATATATATACATATAAAACAACTTGTAAGATGTGTCAATGTGATGTGTTATGTTTTTAAAAAAAACATGAACATGCAGTCAGCGAACCACTTTATTGTATTTAAATAAAGCAATTATTGATTGACATATTGATTCTTTTAATGAATCTAGTTGATCTCTTTACTTGATAATGCTAACGTTTTACAGTAATTTTTAGATACCGCTTATTGAGTCAAATGATAATGACTTTGGAAATGGTAAATTAGTCGCCTATGGCATTATGTAATTGCACGATTTGGAATTTAATTGCAATTAAAAGATAATTACATAGAAAAAAATAAAGCTATTTAAATGAACGTTTATTTTGAGGTAAAAAATAATACGATGTTTAAATAAAGTTTATTACTTGTTAATTACAATTTTCAAAAAAAGAAGAAAAAACAAAAAAAAAAACAAGAACAATAATATGTCATGATTTTAATTTAAGACATACATAAAATATAATGTATGTTGATTGTTGGTTTCTAATCGCTATTTCTAGGATGGTTATCTGTTAATGCTAATTCTAGAGTCATCTTTTGAACATCCATTTTCTCAGTTAAATAAAATATAAGACAGTTTAAGATAGATGTAATAATAAGAACTGTAATGAATACATATATTCTAGTAATAAGAGTTAACCAACGATGAGTAGCCTATGAATTTATACCTGCACGCCTAAATGTATTGTATTTACATACACACACACACACACAACCACACACAACCACACACACACACACACACACATATATATATATATATATATATATATATATATATATATATATATATATATATATATACATATATATATATATATATATATATATATATATATATATATATATATATATATATATGAAACTATAATAATAAATATATTGTACTAGTATATTGTTTTTACCCAAGTAAAGCATTGAAGATTTTATTTTCATGTTTAGCCAACCTTTACTTAGAACACTACTGCAAGTTTTATAACCCACGTCTAAGATTGTTTATTTCTTTTGTTTGTTGGGAAAATCAATTAATCAATAACATACAGGACAAACACATTTTACAAGCGTTACACAGTTTTGTTATCAAATGATAAGCTGCGTCATAAAAAAATCTTATAAAGTCGACTAGAAGAAAGCGGAAGATGATGAAATGGTAAGTTGATCGAATGTGTTGTTTGAAATCAATGTAGAAATGTCTTAAACAGCTGCTGGGTATAACGTTACTATAATTGTTGTGTGTAGTGAGATTTAAGTCGTTTCACTTTCTGTTTGCCCACTTGATACGTACCAAGTCCTAGACAGACAAGGGGGTAATACTAACGGTAAATTATATATATATATATATATATATATATATATATATATATATATATATATACATATAAATAGATATAAACATATATGCATTATATATATATATATCTATATACATCTATCTATATATATATCTATATATCTAAATATCTCTCTCTCTCTCTCTCTCTCTCTCTCTCTCTCTCTCTCTCTCTCTCTCTCTCTCTCTCTCTCTCTCTCTATATATATATATATATATATATATATATATATATTCATTTAAATACACATAGACATAATGCATATATGTTTATATCTATTTATATGTATATATATATATATATATATAATATAATTATGTATATATATTTATATATCTATATATCTATATATCTATCTATCTATCTATATATATATATATATATATATATATATATATATATATATATATATATATATATATATATATCTATATATATATATATATATATATATAGATATATAGATATATAGATATATAGATATATAAATATATATACATATGCTTATTACGTGATATTATTTATTTCTATTTACTTTCACATCAGCCAACATGGTGAAACATCTCCTAATGTGTGTTATTGCTGTTACATTTTTCTTCTATGTTATCTGTAAGTAGGCTACATTATGCCAATACAAGTTTCTGATTATTATAAACAATAGACGTTAAAATAGTTACATGCAGTTGTGAATTAAGGGGTAGTCCATAAATGACGTCACACTCGTAGGGGGGAGGGGGGGTCCGTAATTTTGTGACGGCATGTGATGAGGGTAGGGGGGGGGGTTCAGATGGTGGGACGTCACATTTTTGCATTAACAAAAAGTAAAGTTGGAAAACGAATTTTAGCCTTTATTTCGCGTTTTAGAAAACAGTTTTCATAAATTGTAATAGGAATTGATTAAAATACTCTATGTTGAGAGATTTCAGACAAGATTTTGAAAATATATTGATTTTTTAAGAAAAATTTAACAGCAATTTTGAGGGGGGGGGGGGGTTGTAGGCTGAGGTGTAACGTCCTTTCAGGGGGGGGGGGGGGTCTGGCTTTTTGTGACGACGTGTGACGGAGGCGAGGGGGGAGGTAAAAATCGTCAAAAACATCGTCACGTCATTTATGGATGACCCCTAAAGTTAATTTGTGTTTCGAAGAGTCGTTAAACATGATTTATAACCATTGTTAAAGGAGCGAAGTTTGAATGACAACTTATTATTGGAAAAGTGTTATTGGAAAGCAGGCGTTATGGAAGAATTTAGTCAAACACTTAATTTGATGTTCTTTATTTAGTATTTACTCAAATATAACCCGGTTAATCTTTAAATAAAAGGTTGGCAGAACTTGATTTTAATTTGGTGCACTTCGTTTATCACCATATAAAGACTTACAATATTTGCAAAATACATTTATTATATTTGATTTTTATGATGTCATTCTCATGATATATTTTACATAAAATTTTCGTTTTGTGTCACTTCATGTGTATGTTGTTTGAAGTTACTAAATCGCTTCACACACATGTTAAATAGTATTAAGGATTGTGTCCTATGTAGATAACACATATACATACGGTTGAACGCTCTGACTAACGTTAAAAAACTAATGTGGCTGGGCATTCCGCTGACCACATTATCCTCTGTATGATGAGGATGGTAAAACAGATGGACTCTTCTTCAACTGCCCCATGTGTCTTTGGCTCGAACTGGGAAAGTTGATATTATATGGTGGTATGGTGGGTAAAAATGACAAACATATTTTTTTTTTTACGACTGAGTTTTCCCAATGTTTTGACAGTCTTTGTTTTAATTAAACCAGGTTCCGGCCTATCAGAGACAGACCCCTGCAGTAAAACCTGCTTTTTTATTCTATCCCCCGTATGTGGCAGCGACGGTCAGACCTACAGGAACCAGTGTAGCCTGGAAATAGAAGCCTGCAGGCATCCTGAGTTAAACATCACGGCAGTTAAGATGGGAATCTGCTAGTTGTCAGGTGGTCTGAATGTGTATAAATAGAGGAAGTGGCTTTGTTATTTACGTCATATAGATCTAGTTCTCATAATTTGTGAATGTGTATAGAGTAATCAGCTTCTTTATATACTGAATATAGATCTAGTTCTCAGAATGTTAAATTTGTTTACATGAAGAAGGTAGCTTTGTTAGTTACAGCAGGATATTATTGTTTATCATTTGTTATATCCCCAAGCTTGCATCAATCTACAAATTAGTGATTCCATACTTTAAAAAATTATATCAATTCGCATTTGGTTTTTTTTTTTACTTTTTTTAAAAAGTACATCATGATTTTGTTGGTAATTAATTTTTGATATACTAATAGCATAGATTAATGATAATTATCTTAATTGAATCGTAAATAAAACAAATATCAGATGATTTGTTACTTCTGTATTCTTGTTTTACTGTACTTCACATTTTAAAAAGTTCTATTTTTATTATTTTCAAGTACATCGCTACTTTTTGTGTCACGGGTAAAGTCGTGATGTGGTGAGGGCAGGGTGAGAATTTTTAGTGTTCGAGTGAAAACTTCTTTCCCTTCATGCTCAGTTGTTTGTTGGACGCGATTTTTCTCAAACATATTAAGCATTACGTGTCAACAGGTTATGTGTCATATGAGCACTTGATTTATGCCTGCTTTTCTTTTAGAATTTGCTTCCATAGCCTTTATCTATCCAATAACAAACTAGAAGACATCAGTTGCTTGATGTTGAAGATGTCTCTCCTAAAAGGGTTGCTGTTCCCAGCTAACGAGCCTCATCTGTCCGGGGATTTGAACTCGGGACATTTGAGTTACCAATCCAACAATGTCGACCCTGTCATGATGGCCAAATTTGTGTTTTCGGTGCTTTTCTGTTGACACTTTTATATTTTCCAAATAACATTGACTTTTATTACTTAATGATAACAATTAGACGAAAATGAATGCATTGTTAAGTATGTATATTACTCCTAACATATAATACGCCTAACATACTCCTTGTTTAGATATTTAACGATTACACCTACCTATCCATGGATTCCAAAGCTTATTTATTTTTTTTTGAAAATAAAATAAACTTTGATATAAAAAAGAAATTCAACATTTCCACAGCGCATGAATTATTTTATAATGATTTTTTTAAACAAAATTACAGCTTCAAGACAAATATTTAAAATCATTTTAGTGTCTTCACTCTCTTAAAATAAATTATATTCTAACAACACAATAAAAGACTGAAACAAAACTTGGACGAATACAATTGTGAAAAAAAAAATCAATAAGCGCAACAAATGTAAGGTGGTCGTCGATTTAATGTCTTCCTCACAGGCTGGCTTAGCATGTGTGAGAGGGGTTGTGTGGTATTTGTGTGGAGGAGAGGTTTGTGTTGTATATGTGTGTAGAGGAGAGGGTTGTGTGTGTGTGGAGGAGAGGGTTGTGTGTGTGTGGAGGAGAGGGTTGTGTGTGTGTGGAGGAGAGGGTTGTGTGTGTGTAGAGGAGAGGGTTGTGTGTGTGTAGAGAAGAGGGTTGTGTGTGTGTAGGAGAGGGTTGTGTGTGTGTGGAGAAGAGGGTTGTGTGTGTGTGGAGGAGAGGGTTGTGTGTGTGTGGAGGAGAGGGTTGTGTGTGTGGAGGAGAGGGTTGTGTGTGTGTGGAGGAGAGGGTTGTGTGTGTGTGGAGGAGAGGGTTGTGTGTGTGGAGGAGAGGGTTGTGTGTGTGGAGGAGAGGGTTGTGTGTGTGGAGGAGAGGGTTGTGTGTGTGGAGGAGAGGGTTGTGTGTGTGGAGGAGAGGGTTGTGTGTGTGTGGAGGAGAGCGTTGTGTGTGTGGAGGAGAGGGTTGTGTGTGTGGAGGAGAGGGTTGTGTGTGTGTGGAGGAGAGGGTTGTGTGTGTGTGGAGGAGAGGGTTGTGTGTGTGGAGGAGAGGGTTGTGTGTGAGGAGGAGAGGGTTGTGTGTGTGGAGGAGAGGGTTGTGTGTGTGGAGGAGAGGGTTGTGTGTGTGGAGGAGAGGGTTGTGTGTGTGGAGGAGAAGGTTGTGTGTGTGGAGGAGAGGGTTGTGTGTGTGTGGAGGAGAGGGTTGTGTGTGTATGTAGGAGAGGGTTGTGTGTGTGTGTGGAGAAGAAGGTTGTGTTTGTGTGGAGGAGAGGGTTGTGTGTGTGGAGGAGAGGGTTGTGTGTGTGGAGGAGAGGGTTGTGTGTGTAGAGGAGAGGGTTGTATGTATGGAGGAGAGGGTTGTGTGTGCGGAGGAGAGGGTTGTGTGTGTGGAGGAGAGGGTTGTGTGTGTGTGTGGAGGTGAGGGTTGTGTGTGTGTGGAGGAGAGGGTTGTGTGTGTGTGGAGGAGAGGGTTGTGTGTGTGTGGAGGAGAGGGTTGTTTGTGTGTGTGGAGGAGAGGGTTGTGTGTGTGTGGAGGAGAGGGTTGTGTGTGTGGAGGAGAAGGTTGTGTGTGTGTGGAGGAGAGGGTTGTGTGTGTGGAGGAGAGGGTTGTGTGTGTGGAGGAGAGGGTTGTGTGTGTGGAGGAGAGGGTTGTGTGTGTGTGGAGGAGAGGGTTGTGTGTGTGGAGGAGAGGGTTGTGTGTGTGGAGGAGATGGTTGTGTGTGTGGAGGAGAGGGTTGTGTGTGTGGAGGAGAGAGTTGTGTGTGTGTATAGGTGAGGTTTGTGTGTGGAGGAGAGGGTTGTGTGTGTGTGGAGGAGAGGGTTGTGTGTGTATGTAGGAGAGGGTTGTGTGTGTGTGTGGAGAAGAAGGTTGTGTTTGTGTGGAGGAGAGGGTTGTGTGTGTGGAGGAGAGGGCTGTGTGTGTGGAGGAGAGGGTTGTGTGTGTGGAGGAGAGGGTTGTGTGTGTAGAGGAGAGGGTTGTATGTATGGAGGAGAGGGTTGTGTGTGCGGAGGAGAGGGTTGTGTGTGTGGAGGAGAGGGTTGTGTGTGTGTGGAGGTGAGGGTTGTGTGTGTGTGGAGGAGAGGGTTGTGTGTGTGTGGAGGAGAGGGTTGTGTGTGTGTAGAGGAGAGGGTTGTGTGTGTGTAGAGAAGAGGGTTGTGTGTGTGTAGGAGAGGGTTGTGTGTGTGTGGAGAAGAGGGTTGTGTGTGTGTGGAGGAGAGGGTTGTGTGTGTGTGGAGGAGAGGGTTGTGTGTGTGGAGGAGAGGGTTGTGTGTGTGTGGAGGAGAGGGTTGTGTGTGTGTGGAGGAGAGGGTTGTGTGTGTGGAGGAGAGGGTTGTGTGTGTGGAGGAGAGGGTTGTGTGTGTGGAGGAGAGGGTTGTGTGTGTGGAGGAGAGGGTTGTGTGTGTGGAGGAGAGGGTTGTGTGTGTGTGGAGGAGAGCGTTGTGTGTGTGGAGGAGAGGGTTGTGTGTGTGGAGGAGAGGGTTGTGTGTGTGTGGAGGAGAGGGTTGTGTGTGTGTGGAGGAGAGGGTTGTGTGTGTGGAGGAGAGGGTTGTGTGTGAGGAGGAGAGGGTTGTGTGTGTGGAGGAGAGGGTTGTGTGTGTGGAGGAGAGGGTTGTGTGTGTGGAGGAGAGGGTTGTGTGTGTGGAGGAGAAGGTTGTGTGTGTGGAGGAGAGGGTTGTGTGTGTGTGGAGGAGAGGGTTGTGTGTGTATGTAGGAGAGGGTTGTGTGTGTGTGTGGAGAAGAAGGTTGTGTTTGTGTGGAGGAGAGGGTTGTGTGTGTGGAGGAGAGGGTTGTGTGTGTGGAGGAGAGGGTTGTGTGTGTAGAGGAGAGGGTTGTATGTATGGAGGAGAGGGTTGTGTGTGCGGAGGAGAGGGTTGTGTGTGTGGAGGAGAGGGTTGTGTGTGTGTGTGGAGGTGAGGGTTGTGTGTGTGTGGAGGAGAGGGTTGTGTGTGTGTGGAGGAGAGGGTTGTGTGTGTGTGGAGGAGAGGGTTGTTTGTGTGTGTGGAGGAGAGGGTTGTGTGTGTGTGGAGGAGAGGGTTGTGTGTGTGGAGGAGAAGGTTGTGTGTGTGTGGAGGAGAGGGTTGTGTGTGTGGAGGAGAGGGTTGTGTGTGTGGAGGAGAGGGTTGTGTGTGTGGAGGAGAGGGTTGTGTGTGTGTGGAGGAGAGGGTTGTGTGTGTGGAGGAGAGGGTTGTGTGTGTGGAGGAGATGGTTGTGTGTGTGGAGGAGAGGGTTGTGTGAGTGGAGGAGAGAGTTGTGTGTGTGTATAGGTGAGGTTTGTGTGTGGAGGAGAGGGTTGTGTGTGTGTGGAGGAGAGGGTTGTGTGTGTATGTAGGAGAGGGTTGTGTGTGTGTGTGGAGAAGAAGGTTGTGTTTGTGTGGAGGAGAGGGTTGTGTGTGTGGAGGAGAGGGCTGTGTGTGGAGGAGAGGGTTGTGTGTGTGGAGGAGAGGGTTGTGTGTGTAGAGGAGAGGGTTGTATGTATGGAGGAGAGGGTTGTGTGTGCGGAGGAGAGGGTTGTGTGTGTGGAGGAGAGGGTTGTGTGTGTGTGGAGGTGAGGGTTGTGTGTGTGTGGAGGAGAGGGTTGTGTGTGTGTGGAGGAGAGGGTTGTGTGTGTGTGGAGGAGAGGGTTGTTTGTGTGTGTGGAGGAGAGGGTTGTGTGTGTGTGGAGGAGAGGGTTGTGTGTGTGGAGGAGAAGGTTGTGTGTGTGTGGAGGAGAGGGTTGTGTGTGTGGAGGAGAGGGTTGTGTGTGTGGAGGAGAGGGTTGTGTGTGTGGAGGAGAGGGTTGTGTGTGTGTGGAGGAGAGGGTTGTGTGTGTGGAGGAGAGGGTTGTGTGTGTGGAGGAGATGGTTGTGTGTGTGGAGGAGAGGGTTGTGTGTGTGGAGGAGAGAGTTGTGTGTGTGTGGAGGTGAGGTTTGTGTGTGTGGAGGAGAGGGTTGTGTGTGAGGAGGAGAGGGTTGTGTGTGTGGAGGAGAGGGTTGTGTGTGTGGAGGAGAGGGTTGTGTGTGTGGAGGAGAGGGTTGTGTGTGTGGAGGAGAGGGTTGTGTGTGTGGAGGAGAGGGTTGTGTGTGTGTGGAGGAGAGGGTTGTGTGTGTATGTAGGAGAGGGTTGTGTGTGTGTGGAGAAGAGGGTTGTGTTTGTGTGGAGGAGAGGGTTGTGTGTGTGGAGGAGAGGGTTGTGTGTGTGGAGGAGAGGGTTGTGTGTGTAGAGGAGAGGGTTGTATGTGTGGAGGAGAGAGTTGTGTGTGTGGAGGAGAGGGTTGTGTGTGTGGAGGAGAGGGTTGTGTGTGTGTGTGGAGGAGAGGGTTGTGTGTGTGTGGAGGAGAGGGTTGTGTGTGTGTAGAAGAGAGGGTTGTGTGTGAGGAGGAGAGGGTTGTGTGTGTGGAGGAGAGGGTTGTGTGTGTGGAGGAGAGGGTTGTGTGTGTGGAGGTGAGTGTTGTGTG